ATAATAATAATAAAACAATAGATATTTCAAATATTATTATTATTATTATTTGAGTGTTCTACAAATCTGCAAGCTGCATTAAGACTTTCTCCTCTCCGTCACAGGTGCGATACGTCTCTGACTTCTTTAAAGAGCGCCCCCCTCGCTGCCAGGATGTTGAAAATGATGAAAACGAAGACAGCGAACGCCAGCCCAGCCTTCAGATCGCAGACACGGACAGAAACCATCACTCCTACAGCAGGCCTGTATGAGCCTGACCTTTGACCTGCGAGAGCACTGGATGCTGCACCATGTCTTGTACAGACAGCCACACACACTTTACACTGGCACTGACTGCGCTCTCTTACACAGGATAATGCTCCTATTTCACACAGAGAGCGAGCGAGTGAATGCATGAACTAACACTGAATATTAGATTTTAAACTTCTCTACAGACCGTGTTTATATCGGATTTTGTCTTATGCACGCTCATATATGCCAAGTGCACAGATCGCCTGGCATCTAATGAACCGTTAGGGACTTTATTGTATCAGAGCACAAAGACGAACTTCTCCAAGGGGAACTGGTTGTTTCCATGACAACCTCAAAACCACCGGTTGACATTTACTGACTAGCCGTACTTCTGCTGTTGGAAGCGATTCTTTTGGCATGGGAAAGAAAGTGAACTTTTCTAAGCCATCAGAACACAAGAATTAATGTTTCGCTTAGTAAGAAATCCAGGAAGAGAAGTCTGAACATGGAACAGATGCCAAAAAAGGTCTTTCTCACATTGTCAATTTGATATTTTATACAATTTTATATGTGTGTTATATATATTATATATAACTGGATTATAGTGACTTTATTATTATTTTTATATATATAAAGAAAGGTTATTTTCCTGTGGCGGTAGGTTTAGGGACTTTTCTAAACGTAACATTTTGGTGAGCTAGTTATTATATCCGCGCACATCTAGAAGAAATTCTGCACAGCATGAATCATTTTTATATTACTTTTTTATGTTTAATTTGCTAAAGACTACCATGACAACTCGTGATTTCAATCTAGCTTTGTCGCGTCGCTCGCTCTCATAACAATACGATTTTCTGAAAACCACTATCTAACCGAGGCACATATATATATCGGTATATTTCATAGAAATGAGTCTTACTAACCGTCCTATCCAACAATAAGGATCAGGAAATGTTAACTATCAGATTAAACAGCTGTTTATCTCTTAATATTATCACCACGTGAACGTGAAAATGCTGCTTGTAATGTTAAAATCACAGCCAATCATAAAGCTGTATGCTGATTCTGAACCAATGAGGATTCACTGAGGGGCGGAGCTACCCAACATGACAAGAAACTGACACTTGTAGATTAAAATGGACTTGCAAAATGTTGTACCTACATTATCGGGCTGAATGTTTCCACAGCATTATGATTGTTTAGTTTTATATGCATATTTACAGTGAAAAACGACTGGCGGATTCAAGAATCAGGTTAGATTTATTTTCTTCACGTCAAGCCTTTGCATGACGAAATGACGTTTTAAACGTAAGGTGCGTTTAAACATTGGTCCATTACAATATTAGCGTTCGCTTACCTGTGTCTCTCCAGAGACAATTTTTTCCAGGATTTTGTCTCCATTTACACTTATCCTTAACTCTGATTTACCTCATTTGATCTAATTCTAATTTATGTTAATTCGGAGCTCGAACCGAATCTCGGCATCGAGTGCCTTCTTCCAGGAAAATCCAATTGATCACCAAGTCGTTAAAGTCCCCATGAAATCAAAATTAAAGTTTTTTGGGTGTTCGTATCAATATGTTAGTCTTAAGGTTATCTATAAGGCAGTGTGCTCCAAAACAGTGACAATTGGCTATTTTAAAAAGGGGCGGGGCTGCTTGAAATGTCCCGCCCTGTCTTCCTGTTTTAGGGGACCTTTAAGACTGAATGGGCAGGTGACATTGAAATATTAATAATAATAATAAGTATGCAAATTGGAATACAACTACTGTAAGTCTGTACTTTGTCAGTGGAAAAAAGTAGTGCCATCTCGTCTTAAAATCCTACAAACGCCTTTCTCGTACAACTTGCGCTAGCATTAGCTGAATTAAATACCTTAAAATTAATTCTAATCTTTAGGTTTAGACACTTAAGAACTGTCTTTGCTTTCTCAATATTTTTCTACAGCTGAAAAGGAAAACGTCAAATATTCCTCCTCTTTCAAAATAAATCATGTATTCTGGCATACATTTTAACTTCCCCTCTCACCTATGTTATTAATGTGGGAAAACTTTTTTTTTTTAATAAAAATGTTCCCTCTCACATGTTATTTATGAAGGAAAAACAATCATATTTTTTTTTTATTAAATTTTTATTTTTTCCTGTCCCCTATGTTGTTTATGGAAAAATACATTCCTTTCTTAGTTTCAAGTTGTTGACAATCGCTCATCTAAACCCTGCACAACAGAACCTGCTGTCTACTGTGAGTTGCTAATGCTGCAATTTTTTATGGACACTATATTTAGTGAATATGAATGATGTCTCCCTTTTTTTTTGCTTCTATGTGGAACAGAAACTCTCTTGTGACCGATTTAGTCACAGAAAACCGGATGGCCTTAAAATAAATGAGTACTGAGCTCAGAGAGTGACTTACACACTGAATGTGAAGAAGATTGTGGGTCATGTTTACACCTATATGCTGTTGCCAATATGTGTGAAATGCAACTTGTTTTTAGTTGAATGTTCCAGAGCAATGTTGAGTATTTTTGGAGGATTGCTGTAAAATTGTGCAGAGAGAGAGAGAGAGAGAGAGAGAGAGCACAACTTCATCAAGGATAATACATCATTTTCAAAAATTGGTTGTGAAATATACATTATAAAAAATGATGTGCATTAAGTTGCATAGATGAACATATTACAGTATGTCAAAATCAGTCCAACTGATTTAATTGAAGCTACTGAACTTTTTCTTCTAAAAAGTAATAACTCTAAACCACTTATAATGTTTAGAGCTCCAGACATTTTACATGAACCAATTATTATTTTGTAATGATTGGCATCCGTGACTTTATAAGAAGTTTTGAGTGTATAGCATATAAATGATGCACATACAGGTGCATCTCAATAAATTAGAATGTCGTGGAAAAGTTCATTTATTTCAGTAATTCAACTCAAATTGTGAAACTCGTGTATTAAATTTTAATTTCTTGGTATGTTTTATATTTGTTTATACCTAACATTCGAAATAAAATAAAAAAAAGTTGTACAGCATCTTTTGCCATGATGTTTCTGCTCTTGCTGTAAATGAGCTCAAAACGGAAATGAATGACAAGTTTTGAAACTGTACGACGTTCACGGTGCAGATGTCTTTAATAGTTTTATCTTATCAGTTGGTAACACTTCATATTTCAACGTCTGTTATCTGAATGACATGTTTGCTAGGCCAAGTATTATTATTACTCTTGCTCATACTTGGTGTTAAAGGTTTGCTTCAAATCACTGACCATACATGCACTGAACATTTCCAAGAAATCAGACTTAATTATTTATAGCATGTTCACATGCATTTAAGAATATGATTTTATATTCAGCATGTGCCTTTAATTGGATGAAATATTCAGTCCGGTGCCATTCAGCCAAAAACTCCCCCTTATCTAACACAGAGACGATTGTACAAGGGAATTGTGGGAATTGAAGCAGCCAAAAATGTCAGATAAATCCTGCTTCTTTTCATCAGATTGGTGTTCAAGGACAGTTGATTCCCTTCAGCTTCATTGTAACCGGTTAAATGCAGGCAGGGCTGGAAACATCTGAGAAACACTTACTTCACATTTAATGTCCTCAAGTCAAAGTGTATATGTAAAATATCTTTTATATTGTCTATAGGTGGGACTGGTTTTCATTTATGTGTTGTGTCATGGACACGTGACATCCTGCTACTACAAAGAGCTTTATTTACAGTCCATGTGATCCAACAAAAGTTTTTATTTTTATTTTTATCCAGCACTGATTCTTCAGAAACACACCAAAAAGGTTTCCACTTCGAAATGAGTCAGAGATGATCACTTAACCATTATCACAAAAGTACTATTTAATTCAATTCCCTTTATTTTATCAAAATTATGACAATCTCTTATTATCCCTAAAACCAGCCATCGTCAGAACTCAATACTTCAATGCAATACTTCTATATAAATATACAATAGCTCAATAATTCATATGTATACAAATATATTCTTAAAATATATTAATTTCATATCATTTTTATTTTTTCTTCTTTAATTTTATAGTTTTAGTAATTTAGTTTTTGTCATTTTTACAAGTTTTTTATTGAATGTTTTAATTTTATATTTTTCATTTTCATTTTTAAGTCATTTTGTTGTTTTTTAAATGTCTTTATATAATTGTTATTAATAGTGAGAATTTTGACTTTTTATATTTTCCATTTTATTTTTATTTTTACAAGATTTTGTTTTTTTATTATTTCAGATAAAGTTTTATTTTAATACATCAAGTTTAACTTATTGAAAATGAGAAATGCTGCCTTATCTACTAGCTGAAATAAAATAAGTTTAAGGTATTTTGTATTTTATTTTTAGTTAACATTTATTTCAAGCCACAGATTGTTTTATGATTTAGTTTATAAGTACCCAGCAGAAGAGTATGTACTACATGTGCAAAATATAAATTTGTGAACACAGTAAGATTTTCTATAATGACAATTCAAGAAATGGAGCAGAAATCAGTTTGAAACCAGACCATATTCCAATGCAATATTTCTTAATCAGTATTTGAATCTGTATGGATGTCGACACAAATTGAGTGACTGACAAGAAAAAAAAAAAACATTTTGTGAGAAAACTGAGGCAGGTTTCACCAAAATTCAAATAAAAACCCCATGATACCTAAAGGTTTGATTTTGCACTTCTGTCCCGGCATTCATCAAGAATCAGTGTTAGTGTGAAGACACGACCCAAAAATGTTTCCAGTGCTTCATCCTCGAAGCATTCTGGGATGTATGACCCGCATTTGACCGGCGATATTTCATGGTGCTGTCTTACATCAGTCAGATAAAACTGTGGCCATTTCAGCCAAAAGATTCGCTCATCTGTTAAATGATTTTAGATGCACTAAATCTATCAGTGTTTGACGTCAACTGAGCAGGTTTCAACACATTTAAATTTATTTTTATCAGTTAGTTTTAATGCCATTTTGGAAAAGTTAGCAAATAAACAGTCAAGCCATTACATTTGTCTAGATAGGGGGTGAAGATCTCCTAACTAGTTCCACATGGAGCAAAGCAAATGCAAACCTGATCTGACATATATGCGTTTGATTATAGCGCAGATTAGTGTTGAAATCAAGCAGTAGGCCTACATCATAAGTCCCCAGAGTTTGTTTGTTCAAAGCCTGAACTGTCCTGGTTTACAATTAAAAGAGGTTTAAAAACATATAGAGTAGGGATGTAACGATTCACTCAACTCACGATTCGATTCACAATTTTATTTTATTTTTTTACAAAATGAGATTTAAGACAAATTATAAATTAAATGTGTCCTTTTATTATTGCTTGGACAAAATACTGTACGTTTCTTTGTGAAATTGAAATATAGGCTAACACTATAATAATATACTAATATAGCACTTTTGTTGGTTTTGATTGCTTCTGTGCTTCCACTCAGCACTCACACACCTGGACAAAAAAGACTCATACGTCAGAATGCTGTTCATAGACTTCAGTTCAGCATTCAACACAATCATCCCTCAACAGCTCATTCACAAACTGGTCCAGCTGGGGCTCAACACTTCGCTGTGCAACTGGCTGTTGGACTTTCTGAC